AAGGGATTCCGGCTGTTGGGACCATGATGATCCAACCCAGAGGACCCGAGCGCTCATTGAGCCGACGCTATGGAGTCCCGGCGGACAGATCCGTCCGTCGGTCGGGCGCTGTCCTCCCGGGAGCGGTGAAGTGCAATGCGGACTACCATTGCCTCCTCCAACCTGCATAGGATGACACCCCAGTTAACGGATCCAGACTGCTCGGAGTCAGATCTGCTTCCTGCCATGACGGAGCCGGCCGGATCCCCCCGGAGGTGAGCTCGGGTGGCGGAGGGGAGTGGAGCGAAGTGGCTAGGGTTTGGTCTGGTCGAGCGGATGGGGACACACATATGTGGGGTCGGGTGAGCCAGCATGGTCCGGGTCCGACGTGGCGGGCGTGCCGGGCGCCCCATATTTAGGTTAGATATGAGGGGTGCCGATCAGCCCGGACATTTGAGGTCCGTTTGAGGCTTCTGTTTGGGTCAAAAAATCGTGACCAATCAGTGATCGGACGGGCCGCCCGGGCGTTTGAGGAGGGTTTGGGGCGTCCGGCTGCAGATGATCTTAGATAGCAAAATGTCCTTAGTATTTTACTGTTTATATCAAGCAATAACTTTTTTTTAAAACACAATAGAACCGGATGGTTACATACACTCAACTCTATAAACGCAAACATGCACATCTATCTCTAGGAGCACCTACGAATTCGTAGTCGACAAAAACATTTTTTCCCACTGAACGAACATCATCGCGTGAAGTTCAGGATTTGAATGCTGATGGGGTTGATTCCAGCACTACGCTTAACGGATCATATTTTCTTTTTAATTTATAAGGATTACGTGTATGGTGTACCCTGTCCATAGAGTCCGCGTCATCCGAGTGTCGTCACCCGAGTGTCGTCACATTTTATGAGCAGGCTTGGCTTGGTGCAAGACCAGGAGTTGACTCCGCTCACACTCCCCTTAGCCTTCAGCAGGCTTGGCTGGGTGCAAGACCAGGAGTTGACCCGCTCACACGCCCCTTAGCCTTCAGCAGGCTTGATTCCGCTCGGCCACGCGCCGGCCCCTAGGCTTGATTTCTCGTCTCCATAGCCGGCTGGCCGGCTCGAGGGGCTGTTTTCTCCAAGCTCGGTTGCGGTATGGGGAGTGACGGCGCTACTGCCAGGAATGCCGGCGGTGCCATGGATGGCGACTCCGGCATGGATCTTGCTTCACCGACCGACAGAATTCATGGAAATGGTTCGCGATCCTGATTTTTCGTTTGTCTGGTCTACTCTGCATTTGTTTTCTCGAAGCTGATTTTTCGTTTGTATGATCTACTTTGTGCATTTACTCACTGCATTTGTTTTTAATTTTTCGTTTGTCGGATTTACTCTGTGCATCGCTATTACTAATTCCATATATACTCCATAAAGTAATTACAGTCATGCTCTATCTAAATATACTACAGATGGTAGATTCATTATGTAAAATTAAATCTAGCAAATTCAGTTAGAAAATATTGTTCGTTACAATACATCGTTAGATGAGAACCTTCTCTCTGTTTGCTCTCGCGACAGACGAAAGAGAGGCTGACCCGTGTGCCACCGCTCTCCACCCTCCGCCGGCGAGTCGACGGGTTCCTCCACCCTCCGACGGGTGTAATTTTAAACCTTTGTGCGGTGCTGTGTATCATCGGTTATCCTTATTAATAGATCTGGGGTGTTTTCTGCAAAAAGAACAATACTTCAGATCTGGCGCGAACCCAGTAGTATTGTTCATACAGTCCATATAATAATATGTAAGCTATGTGTAAAAATTGGAATTTTCTCTTGAATGTGAATCCAATTTTGTTTCTATAACCCACGTATCTGTGGTTGGACAAACTCAAATTTTGGAATGCGTCTTGTTCTTTGGAAGAGAGGTAGTATTCAATAAGGATATACTACTGTACATGGTTTTTCGCATTAATTCCTTAGTATGTGCACATAGTCCGCTAGGGATACATGCATAAATGATACTACAAAACAGAGGAACTAGTGCTACGTAGTAGTATTGCTCTGTAAGCCCGGATTTTTCTTCTTGGTTTGTTTTTGAGACCTACTTCACCCTGATTTTACACCCTTCTCTAGAGAAACTTGTGAATTGTTTATATTTTAACCATTCTACCGAAATAAGGCTAAATGTTCTAAACGAATGCAGTGGCCATGGACGGTAACCTGATGGTTAGTAGAGGTTCTGGAGATGCCCAGCAGTTGGAGGATGCTAGGAGGACGAACACGGATACTACGCGGGTGGTCATAAATCCACTGCTGCTAGCATCAGCGTGCTTTGGCTCGTGGAAGGCATTGAATTTTCTTCTCGTCAGGGAAGACGCACAAAAGCCACCAATGGTGATGCAGACTCAGGCATTTATTCACTTGCTAATGGGTGACGACGACGGCTCAGCACACCAGGCCTTCGAGAATGACGTTGAAGAGGGCGATGATCAGCTTGCTTTGCCTGATGGTGGGTATGCACAGCTCCTCCTCGACGGTGTCATGGTTGAGGGGGACACTGTACTGCATGCGGTTGCCAGTCATGGGGATGACAGGAATTATTTGGAATGTGCTAACATTATCTACGGCAGAGCCAAGCACCTCCTTTTTGCGCTAAACGACAAGGGTGACACGCCCTTGCATTGTGCTGCTAGAGTTGGGAATTCAAAGATGGTTTCTCAGCTCATTAACCTAGTTACAAGTGAGGATGAAAGGCATCAGCTCTTGAGAAAGGAGAACGGGCGTAAGGAGACGGCCTTGCATGACGCTGTCCGCATCGGGAACAATCATATAGTTGATCTGCTAATGACGGCAGACAAGCAATTGGCTAACTACCCCAGCGGAGGCATCTCCCCGTTGTACCTTGCCATCTTGCTGGAGAAGTACACCATTGCAATGACGCTTTACGAAACAAGTGAAGGGAACCTCTCCTACTCCGGACCAAATGGACAAAATGCATTGCATGCTGCGGTTCGTCGGAGCAAAGGTATGATGCATACTTTTATACATCTGTGCCAAACATTTCTCTACAAGAGCACTTTTACAATTTCATATTTTTTCTTGGTAGGTAAGATTAATACTTTTCGATAATGGGCACTTTTATTAACTCAAAATGTAGCATCAAACAGATAGAAAGCATGATGAGTAATACCCGGCCTCTGCATAATGAAAATGCACACAGCCAAACACCACGAGTCTGACAAAAAAAAGAAGAAAATAGACGAGAAACCGACATATCAACAACAATAGAGTCATATAGGACTAACACTCTGCCTATGTCGAAAAAGGTGGTGGGCCGATCCGGAGATTATGCCGCCTTCATTGTTTTCCCTATAATTACTTACTCCACCACGCTTCTTAGGAAAGTCAACTGTTGTAGATCAGCTCACATGCATGTTAGCCGTTGGAAATCATGGATGAGTTAACTTATTGGTGGTGGGAGATGGTAGCGCGGGATATCTTCAACCGGTTTGGATGATGGTCATGTAATATGATAGGCGATTAGTTTACCTATCTATCTTTTGCCAGCCGGTTGTAGCTTTTGGGCCTTTTTTTGTTTTTGTTGCTCTTCGTGAGCCAGCTTATCATTTTGTTGCAGACTGCAAGACATTGTTGAACTACTTTATTTTTTAATAAATGTGGCCGTATGCATCGTTCTGATGTAGAGGCCGGGGAGTCCCCCCTTTTCGAAAAAAAAATTGGTGGTGGCAGTACAAATATGCTATGCACCCTTTCCCCCCCAAAAAATGCTATGCATCCTTTTTCTTTTTGACCATACTTGCATAATTGTACCAACAATAGCACTTTTACTAATGTTATATCATTCAAATATTTGTTCAACTGTTGGTCAAAGTTGAACCTTAAATCCCATTATCACTTTACATTTTTGGATATCAGCCTTTTGAGCACAAGAATAGAAAAAAAAGGGGGAATTTTTCAGTTGTTGACTAGTATATAATTTCAAATACTTAGAAATAAGTTGCCCGGTGGTGTGGTAGGTAGTGGTAATAGTACGCGCCTCACTCCGAAACAAAGAAAAAGGTGCGAAATTATGCATGCAAATCAATACTGAATTATATCAATTTCATATCCCATACTTTGTTCCCACTTAAGATCATGCACAAAATACTGAATTTTATTGCATTTTTCTTTATTTAACTTAGACTAACATAGAGAGCTCATCTACAGGTATGACAAATAAGTTACTGACATGGAACAAGAGCCTTACAACACAAGCGGACAAAAACGGGAGTACGCCTCTTCACTTCGCTTCAGATCAGTTTAATATACATGGTTTAAGTGTGAGGCAACAAGTCGTGATGATCACTATGTTCCCTTGGCGTCGTTACACCTGTGGTACCCAAATTCTGAAGCAAGTATTCAAAGCTAACCTAGCTCAACTGTATCAACCAGACAAGAGCGGATTATTCCCCATACATATAGCGGCATCCATTGGCTGCGAAAGAACTATAGCCATTTTTATCGCGAGCTGTCCTAGTAGCGCCAGTTTGCGTGACACAAGGGGGAGGACATTTCTTCACGTTGCTGTTGAGAAAAAGATGGGCAATATAGTCTCATTTGTTGGTCGAAATTCATCTCTAGCTTGGATTTTAAACTTGCAAGACAATGAGGGAAACACGGCACTGCACTTAGCTGCCCAAGCCGGAAATTTTCGGTTGTGTTGTTCTCTGTTCGGGAATCCAAGAACGCTCCTAAGTTTGACAAACCACAATGGACAAACTCCTCTCGATGTGGCAGACATTGGCACCAAGTTCTTGGTAATCTACTCTATTCACTCATCTCCATGTACGCTAGTTAGAAATTTAGTCCAAGATAATTGTGATTCGCGTAGGTAAATATTTCTACCCTAATATTATCATTTTTCTATAGATTTTTCCGCTTACCGAAGGAGACGTATCTACGGTGCTCAGACTGGCTGGTGCCAAGAGAGGCGTTTGTCGCACGGATCACTTTGCAGAGAAGTACAATAATCCCAGCGAATAAAATGAAACAATCAGAGTTGCTGAAAGATTCAGCACAAAGTACAGGCATCGTATCGGTTCTAATAGCCACCATGACATTTGGTGCAACTTTCGCTCTACCTGGAGGTTACAGAGCGGATGACCACACTAATGGTGGCACACCAACGCTTGCTGGGAGGTATGTGTTCAGTGCATTCCTAGTGGCCAACACATTAGCTTTTGTTTGCTCTTCAATAGCTACGGTTGGCATCATGTACGCTGGTAACCCTACAAATAAGATGTCAGCCCGTAGAGCACACTTTGTGGCATCTTCGTTCTTCGCACATGGATCGGTGACAAGCCTCAGTGTTGCTTTTGCACTTGGCGTATATTTGGTGCTAGCTCCCGTTGCACCCAAGACTGCCATCGCGATCTGTTTAATCAGTTCCCTTGTAGTGCTTTACAATGAATTTGAAGGTCTATGGAGAGTAGTTCTTGCCACAAATTCTATTCGTAAGAGATTGGGGTTAATTAGAGCAATGAACTCGGGCATTCCGAGGACCATTGGAAGAATCGTTAGGGGATTTTGGCAATTTATAATCATTTTTATTTGGCTTGCATATGTCAGCATAAGTCAGCAACATTAACATCAAGTTGATATCAAAGTACACCCAGCCTCTGCAACTACTCAGATATCAGGAGCAGATCGAGACATCGAGGATGCATGACATGTAGGCAAATGATGAGTTGGTATTGTGGGGTAATGTGTCTAACGTGTCCTAAAGATAACTGTGGGGAGTATTTGTATTATATTTATTTTCATGAACTTTTGAATAATGCGTAGTATTTTGTTGGTGAAACCCTTTATTCTTGGTACAATGTTCTATAAATATCTGTGATCTCGTATCATTACTTGGGGATGCTTACATTTCTGAGTCCTTTAACAATGGAATACACACCATTCATTAGTGGTAATCCCAAGGTTTAGAATCGTTTCCACTACAGCAAATGGCCCAGCGCATAACACCTCACTATTCATAGTAGGTTTTTTTTTTTTCTGAAAAGGGGGTTTACCCCAGCCTTTGCATCAGAAAGATGTATACGGCCCATATTATTAATAAAAGAAAGATCCAGCAACAGTCTCCAAGTCTCGCAGCAGGAAGTAAACAAATGCTCACAAGAGCGGAACAAAAAAAAAGGCAAAGCCACAACCGGCTGGCAAATAAAAATAGGAGCACTACATGCCTATCCTATTACATGACCGTCATGAAAATATTCTGAGCTACCATCCCCCATCGGGTAGACGCATTAACCAAACGCTTCCTGGCCTCCGTTGGAGTGAGTAGCGACCACATACGGATCAATGCAGTGGCCCTGAAGATAACCTGCAAAAAGTGAATATTTGTTGTTCTGTTAAAAACTAAATCATTTATGCAGTTCCAGACTGCCCATAATAAAGCACAAACGCCTACACGAATGTGCCTCGCTGTATCTGAAGATATCCCATCGAGCCACGTCCCAAATAACGTGTTGATAGAACTGGGCGGATTAATATTAAAAGCAATATGAATCGACCACCACAAAATCTTGGCCAGCGGACAATCAAGAAAGAGGTGTTTGATAGTTTCGTTATGGTCTCAAAAACTACATCTTGCAGATCCCACCCAGTTACGTTTTGCCAGATTATCCTTAGTCAGAATAACTTGTTTATGCACAAACCACATAAACACTTTGATTCTCAAAGGGACCTTCACTTTCCAAACATGCTTCGAGGAAGGAATCACACTAGAGTTAATAACATCAAGATACATGGATTTGACCGAGAATACGCCGTTCTTAGTTAGTTTCCAACACAACTGATCTGGCTGCTGAGACAACTGGAGATCCATCAATCTTCTCACAAGATGAAGCCAGGCCTCCCAACGATTTCCCACTAGCGTCCTCCGAAAATGAATATTGAGGGGAGTAGATTGTAGAACTGTTGCAACGTAAGCATCTCTACATTGAACAACGTTATACAAAGTAGGATATTGAAGCGCAAGGGGAGTCTCGCCAAGCCACGTATCCTCCCAGAACCTCGTAGCAGCTCCATTTCTGACTAAGAACCTTGTCCTATTGAAAAAGAGTGGTTTGACTCTCATCAAGCCTTTCCAAAATGGCGAGTCAGTCGGCCTCACTGTCACCTGGGACAAGGTTTTAGAGTGAAGATACTTATTTCGCAAGATCTGAGCCAAAGTGGCCTTGGTCTCGGAAGAAAGCTTAAACAACCACTTGCTAAGGAGACATCTGTTTTTGACTTCCAAATTTTCAATACCTAGACCCCCTTGGTCCTTCGGTGTCACGCCCAATATGCGACACTATCCTAAAGAGACTCGAAGGTCCCACCAAGGATAAAACCGCATATTGAAACGCTTTGCAAGGTGGATATCATTACATCAACATTACATAATAGATGGGGATACATACATAAGGCATACAATGCCACACGAATACAACAATATATCATACACAATATCAACATCCGACTACGGATGAAACACAAACAGAAGCTCAAACGACATCCACCCTGCTAGCCCAGGCTGCCGACCTGGAACCTATCCCCTGATCGAAGAAGCAGAAGAAGAAGTCAACGCAAGCAAGCATCACTCTCGTGTCATGATCATCGCATAACCTGTACCTGCAACTGTTGTTGTAGTAATCTGTGAGCCACGAGGACTCAGCAATCCCATTACCATGGGTATCAAGACTAGCAAATCTTAAAGGCAAAGGAAGGGGTAAAGTGGTGAGGTTGCAGCAGCGACTAAGCATATATGGTGGCTAACATACGCAAATAAGAGCGAGAAGAGAGCAAACGGAATGGTCGTGAAGCTAGCAATGATCAAGAAGTGATCCTGAAGTCCTACTTACATCAAACATAACCCAAAACCATGTTCACTTCCCGAACTCCGCCGAAAAGAGACTATCACGGCTACACACGCGGTTGATGCGTTTTAATTCGGATCTGGTGTCAAGTTATCTACAACCGGACATTAACAAATTCCCATCTGCCTATAACCGCAGGCACGGCTTTCGAAAGTTTATACCCTGCAGGGGTGTCCCAACTTAGCCCATGATAAGCTCTCGCGATCAACGAAGGATATACCTTCTCCCAGGAAGACCCGATCAGACTCGAAATTCCGGTTTACAAGACATTTTGACAATGGTAAAACAATACCAGCAAAGCCGCCCGATGCGCCGACAAATCCCGATAGGAGCTGCACATATCTCGTTCTCAGGGCACACCGGATGAGACATCCTACGAGTAAAACCAGACCTCGAGTTTCCCCGAGGGGGCCCCGCAGTCTACTCAGTTCGGACCAACACTCGAAGGAGCACTGGCCCGGGGGGGGGGGTTAAAATAAAGATGACCCTCAGGCTCCGGAAACCCAAGGGAAAAAGGGCTAGGTGAGGCAAATGGTAAAACCAAGGTTGGGCCTTGTTGGAGGAGTTTTATTCAAAGCAAACTGTCAAGGGGGTTCCATAAATCACCCAACCGCGTAAGGAACGCAAAATCCGAGAACATAACACCGGTATGACGGAAACTAGGGCGGCAAGAGTGGAACAAAACACCAGGCATAAGGCTGAGTCTTCCACCCTTTACCAAGTATATAGATGCATTATTAAATAAGAGATATTGTGATATCCCAACATAATCCTATTCATCATGGAGCAATCTTCAACTTCACCTGCAACTAACAACGCTATAAGAGGGGCTGAGCAAATCGGTAACATAGCCAAGCAACGGTTTTCTAGGAAGGGTAAAAAGGTTAGAAGCTGACATGACAATTTGGGAGGCTTGATAGAACAAGGGATAGGTAGCATAGCATAGCGATAGAACGAAGCAACTAGCATAACAATGATAGTAATGAGATCCAAGATGACGGTCATCTTGCCTGAAATCTTGCTAGGAAGAAGAACGAGTCCATGAAGAAGACGAACGGGAGTAGTCGAATGAATCCTCACAATTGCAACATTACCGGAACTAAGAAGCAACACCGGAAAGAAACAAACAACATGGTAAATGCACATGCATAAACATGGCATGATGCACAAACAAGTATGATGCATGTCCGGTTTAACGAGGCATGGCATGGCAAAGTGCAACAAACAATACTACAAGTTAAGAGGAGCTAAATATGCAACGAGTTGCATATTGAGAAAACACCACATTGACATATTTAGTTTAATCTTGTTTAAGCTACCAAACAATATTAAATGTTATTAAGCATGGCAAGGGGTGAAGCATATGAAAACTACCTATCTAGGCAAGTTTAAATGAGGCCGGAAACAACAAACAACAATTTCGGAAAAATCCCCATGTGCATAAAATGAATTTGATACTGTTCTGCCCTAAACCATATTTTAAGGTTGTTAAACAGGAAAATAAAGTGCACCATGTTAATCTATGCATTTTTCTACCCCATTTACATATAAAGTTTATTAAATTTGGAGCTACGGTTATTTAGTTATGGAATAAATCATTTTAACATGGCATTTATGCAAATTTAATCAAACATTATTTTAAACATTTAAAACATGGATGAAAGTGGAAAAATGTGAAACTAGACAAAATTCTAAGCACTTTACATGTAGAAAACATTTTAATATGATGCATGGTTATGAAGTTATTAATGCATGAACTTTAGGGGTTTTTCTGTAAATCTGTAAACTCCTGTATAATAGCTAAATTCGCGGATCTAAAAAAAACATGTCAGGCCGAATTTGGTGGGCGCAAGCTAACATGTGGTGCGCTGGGGCGAGGGATAGGCTAGAGGCTCAACATGGGTCGAGGCCCGGCTGGAAGCAGAAGAGGCCAGCTGGGCTTGGTGGAGAGGGAGGCCTGCAGGGGCGCTAGGCCTTGGAGTAGCGGCCCAGGAGGCTGGCCACGCGCGTGAGACGACGGGTCAACGGGCACAGGCGCTGCTCGTGCGCTCATCTACAGAGATGGGCGGGCGAGGCAGAAGCAGGGCACGACGGCGCTGCTTGATGGGAGATTCGACGAGATGGGGCTTGCCGGCGGCGGACGGCGGCGGGGATCAGCCGGATCTGACGAGGGGAGCTGGTTCCCGATGGTGGGAGTCGAACAGGACGACGACGACTCGGCTCCTGCGAAGAAATACAGAGGGCAAGTGATTTCAGAGAGGAGGACAGGGAGAAGAAACGGGAAAGGAGGGAAGAACGGGCGCGGCTTGGCTGACCGGAGCTTCGCCAGAGGCGTGCGGGCATGGCAGCACTGCCGGAGGAGATGCAGACAACGGGGAGGGTTCGGCGAGGAAGCAGGGCCAACCGGAAGGAGCGATGGCGCTTGCTGCTGGTCCGGTCGATGAACGGCAGCGGGGGCAAAGCACAGGAGGCGACGGGGTCGAGCTCGGGACTTGTTGCGAGGACGAGGGCGAGGACGGCTCCTGGCGAAGCAGGCGCGGCAACAGGGCGATGCGGCTCGGCGGCGAGCCTCCTGGATCCGCGCGACGAGGAGGAAGACGTGGCGTGGGCGAGCTCATGCTCGAGGACCTGAAGATGGCGCGGCGGCGGAGCTTGGGCGAGCTCCTGCTCGTTCTTGGGAAGGAGAGAGAGAGGGCCACCATGAGATAGAGAGGGGGGAAAACAG